TCTCCAAGCGCAGGTCGTCAACCTCCAGGCGAGTCTCGACGCGTCGCAGGACACGGCCAAGACTCGCACCTCGGAGCTTGTCCTTGCCCGTGCCCAGCACGACAGCGATCTCGAAACTCTCGGAGATCAACTTCGAGCCTCGCAGGACGCGCTGAGCATCTGGAGGCATCACTCGAAGCGTCGGAGGATTCGGCTGCGACCTGTGTGTCGGCGCTTGCTGCTGCTCAGTCAAAGTTCGACAAAGACGTCAAGGAGCTCCAAGCGAGTCTCAAGAAGACGCTCAGGGTGCAGGCCGCGCAGCACGAGCAAGAAGTCTCTGCTCTGTAGTCCGATCTTGTGACAGCGCATGAGACGTCAGCGAACGTCGCGCGCCGCCTCTCGGCCGACCACAAGACGGCGCTGGCCGATGCCAGTGCCACCCTCGCCGCTAAGGGCGCGGAGTTCCGAGCCAAGTACGAAGATGCGGTGCGCGGCCGCCATGTGGTCTGCCCTGCTTGCGGCGACGTCGACGAAGTGAGTCAGTGGACCGTCTTTCCTGGGCCGCTGATGGAAGACACGGACTTGGACAGCGACATTGAGGTGGGTCTCGGTGAGCCACCGGCACCGCCAGACCTGGTCGCAGCCGCAGAGCTCGAGGCAGAACGCAAGGCTTACGAGGCGCTCAAAGCGCAAGCCGACGACGCAGCAGCCCGCGCCGCATCGAACGAGCTGCGCCTCGAAAACAAGATTTTGAAGCTCATGGCGACCATCAGCGATCTCTCGGCCGATGTCAACGCGCTCTCGTCGGACAAGTCGGCGCTCGCAGAGGCCAAGACGAAGCTCCAGGAGGAGACGATGAGCCTCGCGTCGCGCGTAGCTGCTTTGGAAGCGGCGCTGCAGACGCAGCAGACACAAGCCAAGAGCGACATGAAGGCGCTCGAGACGCGGGCGGTCACGGCCGAAGCCGCCCAAGAAGCCAACGCGACGACGAACCGGGAGCTGGAAACGACCATCGAAGGGCTCTCGACTAGCGCGCTCTACCGACGCACCCAAGAGCTCATGAAAGAAGTCCGGGACCTGGAGGCTCAGCTGCACCGACTTGGGCACTAGCGACGACTAACTCATCATAATACTACGATGTGATTTGCATATCAATCGCTTGGCTACTGGAACTAGTCCATGTTGGCTCTTATCCGATAGGATAGGACAAGATAGGATAGGATAGTGTAGATGATATCTATATACTTGCTACACCACGGCAACACGAACAAGGATTCAGACATGGCCGAGGATGGCGGAGCTCTATTGGGTCAAGGGCTCTATGTCCTTGGTGTGGTCTACAGTGGGGTCGACGACTTGGGCGACGGCTCAACGATCGTGATCTTCTTGGCGCGGCCCTTGATGCCCATGGACAAGTGCGTGAATTCCCACGCACCACTGGCCGTGTTGGGTCGCGTCGCCTGGACATACATGGTGCCTTCCCCTACATCCGTAGTGAGTCGGTTGCAGAAACACCAGGATGCTAGTACCCTTCGGGCCCTTGCACACCGACTCAAACTTGGCCGACGTGTCCGAGATCGCGCCGACGTACGTGTTCTTGTTGGTTTTGATCGGGTGGCCCAGAAAGTCCTTGACCTTGGGCACTTGGTTCACGCGGTCGAGCCCCATCTACGAGCCATTGTTTGCGATTCCTACGCGTCCAATACTAGAACAGTACCTGGATGATGTACGACGGACGGTTCTTAAGAATGCGCAGCATCACATAGCCGGCTGTGCACCCGACGCCAAAGCACAAGAGCGCCTATATCGTCGTCGGGAATGGAATGTCGTGACATCACGTGGGCATGTACCGGCAGCGCAAGCTTGGAGATGAGCGCCTTGAGCTCACCTTTGCGCTGCTCTTTCACTTGGGCGTCTTCGGCGTCGGTCAAGACAACAGTGGGCTGCGGCTTGAGGAGCGAGACAACACTGCCATCGGCCTGGATCAAGTCGAGGCGCCGGAGCGCGTACTTGCCGTTCTCATCCGTAACACTCGCATCGGCCGTGTAGTGCACGACTGTCTTTCCGCTAATACATGCATGCATGCTTATCCAGGGCGTGCATGGCCACCATTCGTACCGCTCGCCTTCGAGACCGATCGTGCCCGAGTAGATCGTCGCGCCGTCTTGCACCGCATCCTGCCGTATGGTCGCTCGAGACAGCAAGCAAGAACGCGTGTACGTACCGGCAGCATCTCGACCTTGGTGGGCAGTCCCGTGATGTCAATGACCACCTTGTTGCGGATCGCTGTGTGCTTGGCTTGGAGAAACACCAAGGTTTCCTGCACAGAGACGTTCGCACGCAAGCGAGATGATGGATTGCTCACGCACCGTCGAGTCGTCTTCGTTCATGCTCTTGTAGTACGATGTGCCCACCAGCAGCGTCGCGGCCGTAATCATGTAGAAGCCAATGTCCCGCACGTACGGGTCGAGGCCGGCCGACTTCTCGACGGCCGCCTCTTTGGCGACCGGCGCCGCTGCCTTCTTGGAGCGCTTGGCACTGAAGAAGCGTAGCTGCCCATACGCGGGCTTGGGCTTGTGGCCATGGGCCGCAGCGAGCGTCGGCCGCGTCCCGGCCAGCAAGCTCGTCGTGCGTAGCATCCTTCGGCAAAACTCGGCGCCAACTTACGTGAGCAATAATTGCAAACTTATTTGAAGGGACATGAATTGATTAAAAATATCATACATATAATACTGAAAAGTTTCATTTATCATAATGCTAGTAGGAACTTCCAAAAAGACACCATTATTAATACTCGACTCCATGGCGCATGGTCTCTTGGCCAGTCAAAAGCCCGGAGCCAACTGTTGAGGGCGCTCAGTTTTGAATTTGCAGTTTAGTCGAAAGTTAGTCGAATTGCGTAGTCGACGCCGCCATGCTTTTGTCAGGAAGTCACAACACCTCTATTTGCGACTTCTGTTACTTGCGTGGGAAAGGAACGCTTGGCTCTCTCTGGTCCCTCGTTCTGAGGGACCTCTTGAGCCGCCTGGGATTGATGAGAGTGGAGAAGCGGGGCTACCTTCGTGGTGGCCCACTCCTGCGCCTCCTAGATCAGCACCATACATTCCTCTACTGAACAAACGACTAGCGTAGTAGCACGTATACTATGATGCGCCGATGCACTCCATATCACGCATCACTATCACTTGTGCTCAAAGCGACGCGACCTCTCAAAAGCACATATTGGATGTCTCTCCGTGATCCAACGTGCCGTCGATGAGGTCACATCCTTCTCGAACCTCTACATTGAACTAACTAAAAGACTGAGCTTATCAAGCAGCGACTACGAACGTCGTGCCATAACATTTTAAAACCTTGGACGCACAAAGGGTGGACGTGGACGTGGTTTAGGAAATGGAGCTAGTGGCAACGCTAATGCCCGGGAAGAAGGCGCAAGTAAGGTTGGCTGCAAGTGGGCTGAGGGCATCCATCTGCCCCGATGCTGGCGTTCGAGTTAAAGGGGTCTAGTACTTACCGGACACGGATCACAGGCTCACCGAGGAGCGGTTGGTATCTTGCGAGGTCGAGACGTCGCTTCGGGTGCGATCTTGTGAGGCGTCGCAGTCCCCAACCCATCGCTCACCGACACCATGAACGTACGTCGGCGGTCGCGTGACGCGTGCGGCAAATTTCAGTGTGTAGAAGCGCGAGATGCTGCAAGAGGTGCTGCCCAAGGCCGGCCTTGTCTACTCGGAGCGCGGCAACCTGACCGAGGTGCTCTGCAAGCCCAAGATCATGCCCATCAAGTCGCTCACGCTCCTCCAGCTCGAAGAGCTCGAGAAGCAAGCGCGCAAGAAAGTCGTCAAAGATACGACTAGCTCGAACAAGCGACTGCTCTTGTTGCATTACATGCCACCGCCAAACATGCTCATGAGCGAGCTCAGCGCCGACTGCGGCGGCTGCACGCCATAGTACTTTTGCGCAATGATGCTCATAAACTAGAGCCGCCGACGTGAGGAGGAAGAGGAGGAGGGGAGGACGTACGTTGCGGAAGGACGGGTCGCGCGACAACGCGTACGCGTAGCGCTCCTGAAGCAACTGAAAGAGCGGGAGGGCATCGCGCTACACCATGCCATGGTCAACGCACTGGCCAAGACTGCAAGCAGCCGTACCTCGAGCGTGCGCAGGATGAACTTGACGCAGTTGATCAACGGCGTGTCCAGCGGGCGGGCCGCAAGGAACTCGGTCAAGACGATGTTGGCATCGCGGAGGTTCTCCAAGCAAATCAACCTTGACGTCGTGAATGCGTGATATAGACAAGCAAAGAGGCAACGTACTGCAAGACGGCGCGCGCGACAAAGAGGTCGGCCTCGCTGGCGTAGCCCGTGGCCGCGTGCGCCACGAGCATGTGGCTCATCTCGCGGGGCTGCTCGGCGTGCAAAAAGTGGTTGTTCGCACTCGTGTAGTCCGTCGCGACCGTGTAAACGCGCGCGAGCCAGAGCTGGAGCTCGGCGTCACCGCGCTGGCGGCTACCGTGCGCTTGGACCACTTGACGGCCTGCTTGAGAAACTCCGAATGGTCTTTCGTCGCCGTCGCGCTAAAGGCTTCCGAGATGGCCTGCACGCGCGCCTTGTTGGCCGCATCGACCGTGAACTTTTGCGCCATGTACAAGTCGATCATGAGGCAGCCCATTTCGCGCGCGGCCGTAAACTGGTCGTGCTTGGCGAGCTGGACCGCCGCCGTGTGCGCGAGGTCAATGGCCCGCATGTGGTCGCCCGCGGCCGCGTACCGGCTGTAGAGCGTCTTGTACATCTGCAGCGCCCCATAGAAGTCCCCTTGCTTTAGGCGCTCCTCGAGCTTCTCGGCCACGCTGGCCGCCCCACGAGCGCTCTTGATTTGACGGACCATCGTCGTTCACAAAATAATATCGTGCTCGTCACCAAGCCTCAGGTATCCGGATGTCCGGATATCCAGACCAAACCCAGCATACGCCGCCACCTCGGACCTGCGGCCCATTTGCTGACAGTCCCATAGAAGGTGGCTTCAACTCAGTTCGGCAAACAAGAAAACGACCTGCTACTCCAGTGATCGACCGCTTGTACTCCCTACGTGAGCGATCTTAACTCCTCCTCGGTCGTCTCGGCCAATGGCACCAATGCAATCGTATCTTGAACCGTCACACGCATGGCCAATATGCGATGGACCTCTTGACAGTCTTGATAGTTGTGTCCTTGACAGCTAGCTCATCCGCCCCAGTGCAAGTGCTAACCGCGCCGCGGTGCGGTCGTTCTTGTACTGTAATTGCATGATGCATCAAGCAGGCCGACCTGTCTTGAGAGAACGGCTGTCGTTGCGGGATGATGGCATCGACCACCGAGCGCCAAACGCTTTCATTAAGATTGCATTGTAGCTTTTGCTTCGTCTCTCGCACACGTTTTTACGACGACCATGTTGACTTCCTCCTCCTCCTCCTCCTCGGGCGAAAGCCGTCATTTGGTCGACCGGTTGCGCGCCGTGGGCCTCGACAAGTACATTGAGCTGCCGCAAATCGCCGTCATGGGCGACACGTCGAGCGGCAAGTCGTCGGTGCTCTCGGCCATCTCTGGCATCTCATTTCCGTCCTCGGACGTGCTCACGACGCGGTGTCCGACGCAACTCATTCTGACGCACGCGTCAACGTTTGCAGGCAGCGTCCGCCTCTTGCGGTACCAATCGAGTGCCGCCGACACGTCGCCCAAGAAGATTGAGACGCTCGACGACGTGACGGCGGCGATTGAAGAGTTTACGCAGCTCCTCATTGACGAAGGCCAAGTCATCTCGGACGATGCAATCGAGATCAAGCTCCAAGGCCCCGCCTTTCCGAATTTGACGCTCACGGACCTTCCGGGCCTCGTGCGCACAGTGCGGGACGACGAAGACCCGGCCATGATTGGCCGCGTCCGCGCGCTCGTGGACCGGTACCTCGTGCAGACGCGAACGATCATCCTCGCCGTCGTGCCGGCCAACGTCGATATGCACAACACGGAGATCCTGCAGGCCGCCGAGGCGGCCGATCCCGACGGCACGCGCACGATCTCGATCATTACAAAGCCCGACCTCATTGACGACGGCGCCGAGCAGAGCGTGAAGGAGCTGCTCTTGAACACGACCAAGAAGCGCCGACTCGGGTACCACATGGTCAAGTGCCGCGGCCAGCGCGCGCTCTCGTCGGGCGTCACGATCGCAAAGGGCCGCGAGGACGAAGCGGCGTTTTTCAAGACGCACCCGGTGTGGCGCACGGTGGACCCGGGCCTCGTCGGCACGGAGAAGCTCGCGGCCAAGCTCTCGGCGCTCTTGGTCGAAGCGATTGCGAGCGCGATGCCGGCGGTCTTTACCGAGATTGACGCGCAGATGAAGGCATGCGCAGTGGGTCTGCGCGCGATGGGCGATGCGATGACGACTCCGAGTGCACGCCGCGCGCACTACATGCGCCACGTCGGCCTCGTCACGAACCGACTCGCCGGCGCGACCAACGGCGACTATGACGACGGCGCGTTTTTCGACACGACGTCGGCGGCGTCCTCGGTCGACAACCGTCTCCGCGCGCACCTCTGCGTGTTCGACACGAAATTTCAACAAGAAATCGAAGCGCTCTCGGTGGTGACCACCGTCAACGTCGACCGGTCCAAGGAGATGCCGGCGGTCGGTGACTATGTCGAGGTCGACGCCAAGAACCAAAACAAGTGGATTGTCGAGCGCGTCATTAGCGTCAATGGCCGCTCGATTATGTCGGCCGTGTCGTCGCCGGGTGCGTATACCAACTACTGGCGGTTCATCCCGACCCAAGACATTTCCGAGCTCAAGCAGCTTTTGCGGGAGAACCGCGGGAACGAGCTCCCACTCTTTGTCTCGAGTGCCATGTTTGGCAACATTGTGCGCGAGCGCTTCGTGACCAAGTGGCGTGCGCCGATGATGACGCTCTTCCGCGCGTACGAGACGCTGCTGGAAGGCGTGGCCGCGCGCGTGGTCTCGTCGACGCAAGCCAACCCGCGGGTGCAGGCGCACCTTTTGCGCGTCGTCAAGGACGTGCTCTCCGACTTGTCGGAGACGGCCGAGCTCGAGCTTGAAAAGGTCTTGGCCACCGAGAGCCGCCCGTATACGCTCAACGGCGACCTCTACGAGAGCCTCCAGGAGCGCCGCCTGCAAGCGCTCCAGGACGGTCTGAGCGCGCTCTCAGCGGGTGACGAGACGGCCAACGTCTCGGTCGGCGCGGTTCAAGCACTCATGCGCGCGCACGGCGGCACGTGCAACGAAGACGCGCAGGCGCTCGACTTGCACATGGCGATTGCGGCGTACGTGGACGTGGCCAAGACGCGGTTTACCGATGCGATCCCGATGCGCCTCAACTCGTGCTTTGTCGAGCCGTTTGTCGACGAGGTAGACGACGGACGAGCAGCTCGCGAGCCTCGTTGTCGACAGCGTGGCCAACACGGCGGCGCGCGAGAAGCTCGAGGCGCAGCTCGCGTCGCTCAAGAAGGCCAAGGCCGAGATTGTCGCGCCAACGTCCTTGTAGCTAGAAGTGAGACGCCGCTGCTTGGCTCCATTTGGCTGGATCGACTAACCTCTCTCAATGCCAACGAGACGCAAGCCTTCAATGCGACAACAGTTGCTGCGTGGAGGACCGAGGTGCATTGGTCGGCTGTGATGACGGTGAGCGCAAGCATGCTTGTCAGTAGCGAGAGCAGTCGGGCACGGGAGCCGTAGCTGATTGAAGACGGAGCAGCATCTAGCTGTTTGCAGAACGCAGCGATGCAGAAGGACGAGGATGCAGGCATGCAGGCAGTAGAATAGGACATGGTGGTGCGTGTATTGATTGGTGTGTACGATGTCGGCGGCGGAGAACTCTAGCTCAGACTTGGTAGCCCCGCTTTTGGGCGCCTGCGAGCTTGTCGACAATGTCGCCAATGACCGGGAGGTTGAGGACCGTGCCGAGGACCGGGGTTTGCCGCAGAAAGGCGACGGCGACGGGGAAGAAGGAGCCAAAGAGGTTGAGGAAGCCAAAGGACTGCACGCACATGCCGATGATCGGGTACCGGATCATGACGAGGAAGATGCCACCGAGGAAGCACACGATGCCACGCCAGCGGTCCTTGCGCGTAAAGAACTTGATCGTGCGCGAGAGGCCGATGGTCATGGCGAGGCCCGAGAGGAAGAGCACGTCGCCGATGGCGAGCAGCGCAGCGTCGAAGAAGAGCATGACGCCGAGGAAGAGGAAGAGGAAGCCGACGCCCAGGAGTAGCGTCCCGATCTTGCGGTTGTCGTCCATCATGCTGCTGCTGCGAATCTGTCGACGCCGTAGGAAACCTGTTGGGCAATTCAATGCGCTCTCGAATACGAGACTTGATGTTTGTATCCATGGGCTTTTTATATGTAAGCAGTATTCATTGGCTAAAATGATTTATTTGTGAACCAATCAGCGCGAAACAACTCATACACACGCCATGTCTCTCGCTCGCCACGAGAACCGTCACACCAGCCGCAGGACGACGCGCCCCACGACCACGAGCTGCAGACGCTGCGTGAGGACGCTACCTATAGCTACGCAGAAGGATCACACTGTCCCATGCTCGCCGATGATGGGCGAGGGCTTTAATTAACCTAACCGCCTACATAACCCCCACCGCACCGATAGGTTGGCTCCACTTGACGAGATCTGCAGTCTTTGGATGCTAATACTGTATATATACATATTCAAAAGATGGTGGGGTGCTACTATATCCAATTCCCGAAACGAAGCAAAGGGTCATTCACGACAACACTGGTGTACTTGTCGTTAAACACTCGCCGTGTGTTTGGGCGACGCAAACGTCTGGTACCCGTCGGTTGACGCTTCGGTGCGCTGGTGCATGTTGGCGAGCTCGGGGTACTTGGCTTCGAGGTCTGTCCAGGATAAAGCGTTGCCGTTGTCCAAGTGCGGCTTCAAATACGCGCCCGTGACGTCGGCAATGACCTCGAGCACGTAGGTCACATCGATCTTGCCGGCTGCCCGTGCGAGTTGGCTGATTTTCTACTCCATTGATATTGCTATGAGCCACGATGACGCATCGATGTAGTACCGGCGAGAAGAGGCCGAGATCGGAAAAGTTGTTGTGGCGCGAGTCCTTGATTGCGTAGAGCTGCGTGTCCGGGTGCGTCGCCGATGATACGTTCTTCGAGAGCGTCTCCATGTGCGTTGTCCAGTTGACCCACTGCTCCGAGATCAAGTGCAACACCGGAAGACGTGGGCCGTTGAGCACCACGTCCTTGTCAAGCGGCGCCATCCATACGTCCATAGCCACAATCGCCTTGACTCGGGTATCCCGGGTCGCCCTAGCCATTCGCGTTGGTTCCGTGCGTCAATATGTGGATCCGGGGCATACGCAGTCACGACGGTCGCCCCGCCAAAGGAATGTCCCACGAGGCCGATCGCATCGAGGTTGAGCTTTTGGTAGAAGACGCTGGTCGGGTCGGCTCGCAGCGTCTCGACAGCGTTGATCATGCTCTGAACATTGGCCACGCGTTGCTGCAACTGACTGTTGCGGATCTTGTACTCGACGTTATCCCAGTCTTTCGCGGCCTCTGGCGGAAGCGGGTGGTAGTAATCGTACTACAAGCCACTTGATTGAACTCTATTGCATACCGTGATTCTCAGTACCGTGACGCGCCCGGTGGCGTCGACGAGCCGATTCACCGACGACGACCCGTCGTTGTGGTTGAGTGCAAACACAATGTACCCTACGAAGCGCGTCGCATCAACCACGTCGCCTCAATAGCAAGAGGATGGAGAGGCGCGTGGTACCTTGGCTCGCGAGCTGCTCGTGGAGCACGGCGTACATCTCCAGCGACCCGCCGAGGCCGTGGCTAAAGACGAGGACGGGCCACCCATTCTTGGACGGCGGTGGCAGCAGCGGGACATCCACGACAGCGTGCAGCCACGCGTTCTTAAAGTGCGAAAAGATGAACGCCGGGATCTTGGCGAAGATACTCAGCCCGATGGCCAAGTGCTTGCCGTGGTGCAAATACGGCAGGAAGATGCGCTTGCTGCTCGACGCCGGCGATGGGTAGAAGATGCGGACGTCGAGGTCTTCGAGGCGATCGGTGATGCAGCCGACGTTGGGGTAGGTGGAGGTCATTTTGGGAAAGGCGGGCAGCGGGAAGAGGTACACGCCAAGCGCAAGGAGCACCCATAACAGCGCTTGGGCAATGACAATGTACTGGACCGAGAACGAGCCGAACATCAGGACAGTGTTGAGGACCATGAGGGCATAGCCCGGCACGAGGACGCCACGCGCAATGTGAAAGGCAAGGACGCCAACGAGGACGACGGTGATGATGTACCGGCCGACCTCGCTGGCCGTCTCGACTTGTGCGAGCACCGACTGGGCTGCTGTGAGGAGGACGAGGCCGACCTCGATCGCTCGGACGCGCTCCATGATACGCTGTGTGATCACGTGGCGAAGCAAAGTGGAAAGTGTCGCTAAGGCGCAACGAAGCCGTCCCGCTGTTTAGTACGTGGCGCCGTCGAACAAATCCACCGAGAGGGTCCGTTGGGATGTCATCATCACACACTATTTCCGTTCATATTGCACTTTCTGCTGAGGTGGAAAGCTCTCGAGATTGCATTCGCCGTTGCAATGACCGCCATCGTGGCGTTCCTGCTACGGCTTACTACCCAGCGCAATGCGCCCCGAGGCGTGTTGTCGAAGTCACGCCCCAGCGCGGCGGCAAGGCTAATATCACACAAGGATACAGGCGCGACTTCGGTAGCTTTCACAGTCCTGGCTTTGCATCCGTGGTATGGCAGCGCATTTGCATATGTGTACGTTCTACAGCGTCACGTAGACTGCAATACGTAGCTACTCTAGCGTTGGACGTCTCGATGCTTCACGGACGTTGCCGCGTCGATCCCACGAACGCACGACACGCGCGCCGTTGCACACTAAATAGTGCGATGCCTGATGGCAGCACCGTGAATGCTGTTAGCGTACACGATTTCGTGTCGAAACGAGACTATTTGACGAAACGAATATAGTGTAAAATGAAATGGTGTTGCAAGTGCAGGAGGCGTTGGTGCAAAACGATTGGCAACCAACCACCGGGAGCTAAATTCGATTGGAACCACGGCTTTAGATGGCTCAAAACCCAATTTTACATTGAGATCATGTCCTTCCGTGGCGGTCGAGGCGGTGCCCGCGGTGGCGGTGCGCGTGGCGGTGGTCGTGGCTTTGGCGGTCGCGGCGGCGGTGGCCGTGGCTTCGGCGGCGGCCGTGGCGGCTACGACGAAGGCCCTCCGGCGACGGTCGTCGAGCTCGGTATCTTCATCCACGCGTGCGAAGACGAAATGGTGAAAAATTTATGTTCAAAAATAAATA